GTGGGGTCAAAAGGTATCTAAGTATATGATTTCAAGTGGAAAAATAGGGGACAAAAATCAGGTATTGGCAGTTTTTCCATTTTCATTTATGTGTGAATTTTTAATATAAATGCCGGGATGTGAAGTATTAATGCAAGTCAAATGTTTCAGTGAACAAGTTTCAGCAGTTCAACTTCATAACAATTATAAATAAACCTGTTAAATTTTTCTGGACAATGCCAGCGTTTGGATTTTTTTAAAACAAGTAAATTTCTTATTGACAGCAAAAAAAAAACAGTCCTCCCAAATATCTATTTTTATAATCATTATTTTCGAAAGTTGTAACCTTACTTTTTCGTAACAGAGCCATGTGTGTTCACGTGGATAAGAATCGTGACCTGCGGATTAAAGAATAAAATTTTGTTTAAAAGAGAATCAACTCAAAAGTCATCAGCAAGTGTTAAGGACTGTGCTTCTTTCAAAGTCTGATGTATCTGTGAAGTGTGCGATCATTCTTTACTGTTCCGAATCTAAACTTTTGAAAACAAAATAAACATGACCCGCCTCCTCAAAAGTGATTCCTCTGGCTTAACAAACCTTACTAAGGGTCCCCAAGAGCTAATCTTTTGTCTTCAGGGTTTTATAAACCTTTTCCAAAATCAGCCCTGTCAGCCTTCTAGGTGAGCAGAGCAGATGGCACCAACTGGAAGAAATATCACACAAGAAGGGCTCCTTGATCTGAGATATCAACCCCTATGCTGTCTAGCTTTTGTATTTTCAGGAATCCCTCAGAAGGGCATACTTTACACTCAATTCATTCATTCATTCAGTCAGTATTTACATACTGAGATTCTACTCAAAGTCCAGCACTGTGCTACATGCTAGAGATGCACCAACGAACAAAATAGCCATGGTTCTGATCCCCCTGGAGCTTTGGACCAGTGGGGGAAACATATTAAAACATAACAAATAAAATGATTAGATTACAGTAAGTGTTATGAAGGAAACAATGGAGGTGTTGGGATAAAGACTAACAGAGAGGTGGAGGGTACATCTGGAAGAGAAATCAGGAAAAGCCTCACTGAGGAGGTGGCATTTGGTGGGAAGGAAGAGCAGGAGCCATCAAGTGGAGAGCGTGCAGACGAGCATTCCATGCGGAGGGAAGAGCAAATGCAAAGGCCTTGTGGCCAGGAAAGAGCTCTGAGTATTCTAGGAATTGCAAGGTCAATGTGGCTGGAATATAGTGTGCCAAGGAAGAGACTGGGGCTGGAAGAGGCTGGAGAGGTACGAAGGGGCCTGATACTACAGTGCCTGGAGAGAAGTTAGGATTTTATTTTAAATTCATTTAACCCCCTCCATCAGTCTTTGACTTCATTAAAGCCCTAAAGTTCTGTTTTTCAGACATTCCCAAGGACATTCTTATGGTAAAGGAGAGTGAATATCAACCTCACTCACAGTGAGCCCAAAATATCTTTCAAGTTTCTTGTTTTACCTTCAAATGTATGTGAACTGTGCAAGAATGTAGTGGTGGAAAAAGAATCCCTTCTTCAATTGCTGGCAGAGGTCCCCTCAGGGAGAAAACTGTCTTTGTTATGAAAGCAAGGTCTTTTATGCTTAGGTGGGATGGCGGGGTGAGAGCAGGAGAAAGCGAAACAGGTCTGAATAAAGGAAGGGTGAACGAGAATCCTGGGCTTGGCTGCAGCCCAAGCAGAAATGTTATTAGGGGAGAAGAAAGAGTCCAAGAGAACTTAGTTCCCTACGGCAGATGGGCCCAGGGACTTTTCAAAACTGGGATGTTCACGGTCCTCTGCCTTGCTCTGCACCTTCTAACCCCCAGCCCACCTCCTCCTGCTCTTCCCACCAGACCCAGACGTGTGTCCATGTTGGACGTGCAGGACAGGGAGAGATGCAACTGAAACAGGAAGTTCCAAGGGCACTGGAAATGAGAATGTAAACCATCAGGAATTTGCAGAATTTTTGAGGGGACATTGGGGATGGGGGCAGCGTAAATCAATTATATATGAATCTCCATATCTATGGCGGATGGCAAGGGTCTTAACCCTTTTTGTGTCTTGAGTCTCCTGGCAGTCTGGTAAAGCCCACAGACCCCTTCTCAGAATAATATTTTTAAAAGCTCTAAAAAATACATTGTATTAGGCCGGGCGTGGTGGCTCACACCTGTAATCCCAGCACTCTGGGAGGCCGAGGCGGGCGGATTGTTTGAGCTCAGGAGTTCGAGACCAGCCTGAGCAAGAG